TGCAAAGCACACAGAGGGCAGAGGCATCTTGGATGGGCCCAGAGAACAGGGAGGCAGAGAGGACTTTGCAAGAGGCTGGAAGACAAGTAGGCTGCTTCCTCTGGAGTGTCTGTGCCAGAGAGAGCAGGAGTAGGTGGGCTGGAGTAGCTGCAACCACACACAGTGTGAGTTCCTTCGAAGGACAGGTGTAGGCCTCACATAAGAAATAACTGCCTGACTCTATCTCCCCACGAAAGCAAGATGTGGAAAAACCAAACCTTCAAAACTACTAAGTAAGTAATGATAATAAGGTAATAAATCCCTTACCTCGAGCTGGCACGTTTGACATTACAGAGTGCTTTTCTAGCGTTTTGTTCCTTGGATTCTAAGAATTCAAGACTGTGCATATGAACCCAAAACAACAGGTTATCTTGATTACTGTCCTAGAATGTCAGGGCACAAGAAAATGGAGACCCAGAGAGGGACAGGGACTGATTCAAGGTCAAACAGCTTCCTGATGATTGAGCCCAAAATGAACATTTTCTATACTTAAAGTGATATATCCGTTCGATCTCACAGCACTAATTTTAAATGAATCAGTTAACAAAAATAACATGATGTACAAGCAGGGCTATATAACGACCAACTACTTTTTAGTGCTGGGATTACAGGCGTGTGCCTCCACCCCGGCCCCAGCTACATTTTTGATTCTCAAGAAAGTGATTAACAGTGGTTCTCAATAATTGCTGGGGTTTCTTGGATTTGGTTTTGGTTTTGTTTCCCTTTCCTGGCAATATCCCTCATCACACAAAGGCCCCAGGAGTTAAAAGTTTCAAGATTCTGCAAACCCAGATTCCTAAGTCATTCCAGCACCTACTGTCAGGCCCAGCCTCTCTTGCTCTCAGCCAAGGACATTCTCTTTTGTTTATACCTAGTACTAGCACCTGGTTCTGGGGGAGGAAGGGAGGGTGGGCAAACTCAATGTCTAAAGGATGAATTTATCCAAAAAACCTAAGGGGATTATCCGTTCAGTCAGCAGGTGCTTGTCTGGCAGAGCCTATGAGGCTGCAGAAGTATAATTCATGTTCTCCAGGGGGTTACAGGGTAACTAGGGACAAGAAATGGGCATCCAAGAGAGTGTTTAGCAAAAGACCCATCAGCACCAAAGTTGGTAACTGGGTATAGTGTGGGGCTGTCAGAACTCAGAGGAGAAAGACAGCTTCAGGCAGTGTAGCCATGGCTTGGAGCTCTGATAGAATTACATGTGAATTCCATGTGTTCTAGGTGCCGAGTCTGTGACCTTAGGTTAGGTAAATTACTTGGCACTTCTGAGCCTAAGTTTCCACCGTGTAAAATTAGGTCAAAAATTGGATTTCCCTTCTAGGGTCTTTGGGAATAAAAATTAATAGAATAGTTCATATGAATGCCTTTGTACTGTGCTTGAGCCACAGAAGGTATTTAGAAAGCTTTAGCTACTGTGGCTGCTACACTCCTTCATTGTTACGTTGATAAAGACTTTAGCTGGCCTGAAAGATAATGAGAATTAACAGTGTAAATCAGATAAACAGTGTGTAAAATGTGGCAGCAGAGCTGCATACATAGGTTGCATTTCAGGGGACACAAGCAGAGCTACTTCATGGGAATGGCAGGATTCCAAGGTGGACCAGAAGGAGATAAGGTTTGGAAGAGTGGGAGAGACCAGTTGGGGGAAACCCTGCCCAAAAGGACGGTGGACTTCAGATGGAGGTACTAGGCGGGTGGGTGGATGGCCTGTGACCTGAGAGAGGTCATGGAAGTACTAGGCAGGTAGGTGGATGGCCTGTGACCTGAGAGCGGTCACGATGAGGACACTTACTCAGGAAGAGAGAGCTGAGGCTGGGAGGAGATGGGGGAAGGAGGGGCCGGCAGCAGGACAGGAGGCTGTAGTCTCACATGTGGGGTGAGGCTCACACTTGGGAGCAGCAGGAGGAGTCCAGAGGAAGTGGTCACTGGAGACAAGGTCAATGGATCTTGATGATCGACGAGTTATTAAAGCCCAGGGGAATGATTTTCATGTCCAAATAGTGAATGAGGACAAATTCTCGTAGTCCTTCACTCATACATTCATCAAGACCTTTTTTTGAGTTCCTAACCAATGCGAATTGTAGGGAAGCCCAGAGAGTAAGATGTATGGAACTGTGAGCAATACCTTCTTGGCACTTCCACTTCATAGAAACAGGAGGATCGGGAGGAAGAGCTATGCGTGGAAGGTAGAGAGATGGCAAGGGTTCCACGGACGGACACGGTGGATAGAGCGTCTTGTCTGTGTTAGGAAACCAGTGAATCTGACATCCTTTCCTGTTCCTGCTGCTTGAGGGGCTTCGATTAAGCCACGCTCCATCTCTGGGGCTCAGCTTTCATGGTTTCATAAGAGGGACTAAATAATCTTACAGCCCTAAGAGAAAAATGTCATGTGGGTAATTGGAGATACAGGACCGAAGCTGAGGAGCAAATTCCCGGAGGGAAGGTGTCTGGGCAGAGGTGGTAATGAAGTTGTACATTTAAATATGCATCAGTACATGGAAAATAGGAGGCACTTGGCAGAAATGAAATGTGTACAAAACCTGATATGGAAACACTCCTCCTTCCTCCAGACCTCAGTCACCCTCATGGAGATTGTCTACCTTGTGAATAGCAAGTTTTTAAATCTCAGAGATGCACATCTTTGTCATCAGTATGTGAGAGAACTGCCCGCAGACCGTCTCCGTCATGTGTATGAGCTGAAGGAGTCTAATACGATTCTACTATGACTATAAGAAAAATAGGAGTAGAAGATAAATTATGGGATTATCAAGCTTTAAAACAAATGTGATGTGAAATGACAACCAGTGAGGCCTATGTGTGATGCCATAAGCTTTATTAAAAGGAGAAAGTCACCATCTTTTTTTTCCCCTAAAAATAACTTTGTAATTTTGACATTGATTTTCTTGGCTTGTCCTGACATTCCCCTTCAAGAAGGAAGAGACTGTAAGACTCCTGTCTTCCAGGTGATAAAATTAAGTTTCTATCAATGTGTTTAATTTGGTAAAAGTCAGCAGACCAAGTTAGGCTTAGGTCGCCACACCTAGCTTACCATCGGGCACACACCCAACCGTCTTCTGAGACACCAGCCATACACACATCTGTCTACCCCAGTTCCTCCTCACACAGCCGTGCCTGCAGCAAGAGCAATGAAAAAGTCACCAAAGAGGCTGCTAGAAGCCGGAGTCCCTGTTCCCCTGAGCTAGGAGAGAAATGTGCCACTTCTGGTGGAACAAAGAGAAAGGATGCAGGTGGCTGTGGCTGAGCCCTGTGGAGCTGAGGAGCCACTAGTGATGCTCTCGGTGAAGGGACTCGGCACCCTGTCCCCTGAGACAGCAGAAGGAAGCTCCTAATTGCTTCCTGCTTCTCCAGAGATGCGAGCGAAAGTAATTATCTGGGGATACCGCTCTGTGCTGTTACTGGAAGCTGGTTTTATGGGCTGAGCTCACTCTTCACTGCCTGCCTAGAAGGGCAAGAGGTGCTATATTTAAAGAAAGCCAGGCTGTTGGATGGACAAACTGATCTGGATGCAGGGACCCTCAGAGAGACTGACCAGTAGAGAGACCAGCGTTTCCTATGCCTGTATGCAATGCCTACTGAATGCACATACCACAGTAGGTAAATGACAAAGACAGTGAGAAAGAGTGAGAAGGTGAGAAAGACAAAGAAATCATAATCAGGAAGACACAGAGGCAGGACCAAAAGAAATGAACTGGGGGAAAAAGAGAGATGACAATCCGCAGTCCAGCCAAGCATAATAAGAAAAAGACAGAAAGCGGTATGG